ATTATATTTTGATGGCAGACAGATTGATGCAAATTTATACAGATAACTTAGAGATATCCAAGAAGGTCCATACCAAGAACAAGGAAACATGTTTATTATTGTTAAGAATTGCTGATGCTAGAAGGACGTACACAGCCCAGCAATGGCAAAATACATTGAGCCAAATTGAAGAATTAGACTTAATTCCTTTCACTAACGAAGTTGAAGCAAGGAGACAAGCACAAAACCTAATGAGTTTGGAGAAAAATTTGGTGAAGAATATTCCAAATCTATTGATGATGACAATGACATGTATCTCTAAAATTATTCAAGATTTGAATGAAAGCACTTTCCAATCAATAACAAAGACCCAACAAATAGAATCCTTGAAAAAAGTTGCCAGAAATTGTATGGTTTATGCTGGTATGATTCAATATAAGATGCCAAGAGAAACTTACAGTTCATTGATCAGACTGGACATAGCGTTGTAGCATTAAATATGTTTTTAATTAAAAATATATAGATAAATAAATTAATTACGTCAAATTATTTTTTTACCTATTTTTATGTTTTCCACTGATCTCTGAAGTAAAGCTTTTATAATCGATTTGATGTATCTATAGTTACGTATTATTACTCTTCTTTTCCATCATTTTCTTTCGATGTTCAGAATAATCTGGTTGCACTTCGTATGCATTAGGTGCACTATCTGTATTGTCCCTCAATTTGCGACGTCTCCTCTCTACTCTTCTTTTCCTTCTCTCATCGAAACCCAGATCTTTATCGTTTTCAGACTCTGATGATGAAGAGGATGAGGATTCTGGTAGTTCGTCGTGTTGATGGTCAGACGTACATCCTTCTTCATCCTCATCTTGTGGATGGTATATACAGCATATTTTTGTCTTCTTTTTATTCATATTCTCATTATCTATAACATCTGTACCTCATCTTACGTCATGCCTGCTAGGTTGATCCCTTGAAGCTCGAAGCTGAAGCACAGGAGGAAGCACCTCTATAGTAGTGGTTTGTGTACTAGATATCTCTTCCTGTTGGTTCTAAAATATTCTTGGTATCTGCCTACTTATCTTATCAAATGAATCACCCAGAGAATGTGGTCAACAATATATGCCTTTACTGACGAATTGATTTAGTGACATCTGCAAATTTCGGATCCAATATGAAAAGTGATCATAACGTACGTATCCGATAGAAATTTTATCGAAATATCAATTTAACGCACACCACCTTACCTAGTGATATATTATAGATAATTTGACAATGAACTTAGATGATACTTTAATGATCAATCCATAACACTTTATCAAATAGAATATATATCCACAAGTATAGTTTGCTATTATAATTTTATTTTATCTGGGTCGAATATTTGATCTCTCAAAGGTTTTCGAGATTCATTTCAGTAACAAAGAATCGGAGATTTGATTTTGAACGCATTATCATATACTTTAAATATCATCGCTATAGTATTGAGTGAACAATGGGTTGGTTTTGGGCTGATTCGGTAAAATCTACAAACAATATATTTAATGTTCAAAACAGTTCGGTATGTCCAGTTAAACATTCTTCTAAAACAATAAACTCAGCAGAAGAATCGGCTTGCCCTGTTGCACATGTAACAAAACCTTTGGTTCAAAATGAAGAATCAGCTTGTCCAGTTCTACATACTTCTGGAAATAATAATTCAGGTATGAACCCATTGAATCATATCCCCTAAAGGGTTGACTGATTTCAAACAACCAGATCAAAAACTTGATTTACCAACTGGAAGAACTATATCAACCATTCCAAAGGGTTCGAATACAAATGAATATTGGGAATACCCATCCCCTCAACAGATGTACAATGCAATGGTAAGGAAAGGTAAAATAGATGTAAACACTGGTGAAGAAATTCCAGAAGACGCTGTAGAATCAATGGTTTTTGTTCATAATTTTTTAAATGAAGGTTGTTGGCAAGAAATTCTGGAATGGGAGAAACCATACACCGACGTAACCAGAGTTGCTCCAAAATTGTTACAATTTATGGGTAAACCAGGTGAATTAAGTCCAAGAGCAAGATTTTATTCCACTTTAGGGAATTGGTTTCCTAGTTATTTTAATAATGAACCTCCTTTTGATAGACATGATTGGGTTGTCTTAAGAGCTGATCCATCTTCAAATGACCCTGAAACTCCAGGTCATAGAAAGGTTCGTTACGTTATTGACTTTTACGGCGCTCCTGATGACGAGGAAGGGCTGCCATCATTTAATGTTGATGTGAGGCCTGCATTAGATAACTATTCTAATGCAAAAGATCGGATAATTCGTTACACTCAACAGACAATGGACAAATATTTTGGAGATGATAATTCTAAAAATTAACCATAGGACCTGATTTCAAACACAAGTATTATTGTTAATATGATTATGAAGCGTCATACATATATTCACTCACTGTAAATACCATAACCAAATTGATCATTCGATTAACAAATTAACATTACCATTAGGCAATGCAGCATTATGCAATATTTAGTTATCTATAGAGTTTATAATTATTCATTTTATCTATATAAATAGTTAATAAAATAAATCAAAAATTGAAATTTTGAATATAAATCATTGAAATCTGTTTATGTATATATACATTTTGATTTATTTATATAATCGTGAAATTATTTACATGTCAATTTACTATTAGAATATAATAATTATAAAGGTTTGTCTGGTACAGTTAAACCAGCGTTCTTCAAGATTTCTGTATCTTTTTCGGATGGAGTGTATTTCTCGACTTTATGAAGTTTCTCAATAATTTCGTTGGCAACTTCTTTTTCGGACTTATCCATTTTAGTAACTTTACTTAAATAAGCTACTGTATTGTAAACTTTCGAAAGCATTGGAAGATATGGAGAATATTTAATTTGTTCGGATAAATTGATGAAATTAGAAATCTTAAATAGATAACTTGGATCTCTTTCACGGATGGCTAAATCACAATACCCAAGTATTAGAGATTTAATCAAGTCTCTACCAATTAACATATTCTTTTTTTCAATGCTACCATCACTGCCTTCTGCAAACTCCTTGAATATTGCTTCTGCTAGTTCATTATTACCGTTTTCTTTAGAAAATTGGGCTGAAATAAATAGAGAGCTTTTTCTAGAATTCCAAGGTTTCTTTATTTGATTGTATAACATATTAATTGTTTTGATATTTGGTGTAATATCGATAAATTTAGTCACTATGGCATTGACTTTTGAAAAATTATTTATATCTTCTGAAATACTTGATAGGAAATTGAAATTTGATAATGGATTAAATTTATAATTTGCTAACATTTTAATTGCCAATGTATCAACAGTTGGTTGTAAATGATACTCATTTTCAGAAGTGAAATATCTTTTATAAATTGAATCAAATTTATCTTTTGATCTTAACTCAGAATATCTTAGTAAGATTCCGTTTATCAAATCAATTGATGTTAAAGTGTTTATAGTGCACACAGAAGATGGAATTTTTTTGAATAAAGTATCTGGATTTTTTATCATGCTATCTTTGTCTTCCAATAAACTTAATATATAAGATTGTGCAACATCCTTATTAGATTTATATCCTTTTGGCATTTCATGTTCCCAGATAGTTTTTACTAGGTGCCCATTGCCAGACAAAATTAATGATTTGAATAAGGCATCGAATGATTCTGGTTTTGGTGTATCTTTTGAGTTGGCTTTAATAATACTATTCCAAATTGCTAAAACTCTATTCAATCCATTAGTTTGTTGAGCAAAAGAATGAAAACCTGCTTGTTTTAAATTAGACACAGTAATTAATAGATGATTTTGTAAATCAGTTTTTGAGTCACCAAGATCAAAATCCTTAAAATCATTAAATACTTTTATGGCATATATCACATCACCAAATTCCACTAATTTATCCATAAAAACAATCAATATTTTATGATCAATTAATTCCTTATCCTTTGGATTCTTTTTCACCATATCACGGTATGAAAAATATGCTTCTTTAATTTTTTTCAAAGATTGATAATGTGGCTTTGCTAACAATTTTGTATAAAAGTCAGGTGTATTCTTAGCATAATCAGTGAACAAAGTCTTGTAATTATTCATGACTTCTTTAACGTCTTTTTTTGGTGTCACTATTTCAATCAGATATTTAATTCTTGAAAAAGGAATGATGAACTCGAATTTTTTATCAACAACTTCACGAGGTTTAATAATTTGCAATAAAACATTGTAATCAGGGGTAACACCTGGTAATGATAAATAAGCTATAGTGGCTAAAGCGATGTTATTATTATGAATAATTGAATATTTATTTTCCACACCATTAAATGGATTACTAGTCAAATTTTCCAAATATTTGACCCATAAAGCCATAGCATCTTCAGCTTTACCTAATTTTAAGAAATGAGTCAAAATAATTTCGAAATGTTTTGGTCTTGCCAAATTATAATCACAAAGTGTAATTAAAATGGAATATGGATCAGCTTCAGAATTTTTAAATGTCGACTTTTTCAATAATTCACTTAGTGGAACATTCAAGGAATATGATTTTTGTAAACTACTAACACTTAGATGAGAATTCTCAGTGATATCACCAAAGTCTTTTTTAAAATTATCATAAATTAGATTAACATTATTTGAGTTTAATAATTCGTCACCTAATTTATTACCTAAATTGACTAACGGATGTTGATGTTCTGAGGTTTTCTCATTACCCTGTTTGGCAGTGGCATTGGAAGCAGCAGTGGCATTGGAAGCAGCAGTGGCATTGGCAGCAGCAGTTGCAGATTCGGCAACAGCTGCATTGTAAAGAATTCTACAACTAGATAGACGTCTTGAACATAGCCTACCATATGAGCTAATACTATTAACGCTAAGCATCTGTCGTCCAAGTTTGATAAATTGTCTACCTTACTCTTATTTTCCTTCCTACGTGCCTTAGATTTCTTCCTTAGATAATAATTTTTGATGTTCTTGCCAACCAAAATTCCTTCAAAATTTAAACAACAATCTATCTATAGAACAATATCAATTTGCCATGGATTCCGATACCTTGTTACCCACAATTAACTTAAAAAAAGGACCGTAATTGAGACTTACAGTTTCCAATTTATCTATTAGATGATATATACTTTAAATCTTAATTAGTCGAAACTTTTCATTAAATTTCACTTCTTGAGATCAGTTCGTCATATATGACATATACATGTATTTAACCGGGTAAATATATCACGTGATCAACAAGAGCCAATGCTTCGTACAAATATCTATAATTAGCTATAAATAGCTATAATTATAAATGTATCCTTGTACAGAGGTATATTCATCGATAGTTTAATTTCAATAGAAATGAAACGGTGATGTTATCTTATCTTCAATAAAAGGTTGACTATTTTTTTTATTGAAAATATCTATATTTCGAGTATGCTTTATAGTTTTTCTACGTCCTGTTCTTAGTACTGATGATTCTTTCAGGTTTACGCGTCATTTAATCACTGACGGCGCTACCTACATTGATAAAAACGCGAAATACAAAATAAAATGATACAATACAAAACAAGACTATATACAATAAAATAAATAAAACTAACGAACTGTATAATATCAGGATTGTTTTAACCTTATTATATTATTGATTATAAGTTAATTTGTATCCTCTGTTATCAAGAGTGTGAATATTGTGTTTGTTATTTGTATTGCTCAGCTGGCTACAAGAATAATTGAGATATTTTCAATCTCATTATTCTCAAGTTTGACACGATACACATAAAATATAACTTATTTACATTACAATATTCCTCTTTAAATTTTGTTCTAGTGTAGTTCGACATCAACGTTAAGGTTCTAGTTGTGCATTTAAAATTACTTATATCAGCAATGGGTGAAGAAAAGGATATTACACAAGAAACGACAGATGTAGATTCTTTATATCCTGGCCATTCTACAACTATCAATGGAAGTAATGAGAATTCGAAACAAGTATATATATCATTGGACAAAGCTAAATCTTTACTTCGAATTCATCAATCGTCATTTTTAATGAGCCCATCTGAAGAATTATCCCAAGATATCGGCTCATTAAAATCAAATTTAAGCAACAATATTATACCAACCAGTACAAACTCTGGGAAAATGCATAGCATAGATATCACTGGTGATTCTTCAAAATTATCCTCACAGTCAACAGATGGTGATATAGATAGAACTGTAGACTTCGATAATTCGCAACTGAGTGAAATTTTAAAAGTTGATATTACAGCAACTGTAAGTTCGTTATGTACTTTAGTAAAGTCAATGTCAAAGGAAATACAGCATTTAAAGTTTAAGAATATGATTTTAAGCTCTAATGAAAATGATTATAAGTCAAAATATGAAGTAGAGGAAAATTTACAAAGACGACAATTCGAAAAAATCAAATCCCAATTAATGAATGAGAATCAAGAAGCTTTAACCAAATTAAAAGTTAAAGAGAACAAAGTAATTAAATATAAAAAAAGAATCATGGAAAAGAACATGGAAATCAATAGATTAACGAGAATTTTAAATGATAATTCACTCAACAACGCTAAAATATTAAACCCAAAGAGATCTTTGTCTGCGACAGCGTCGCTTGCAAAGAGAGACTCCATAACTTCAGAAAAAATGCCAGATATGTTAAATGCATTAGGAATTTTAGCTACCCAAGTACTAAATGATAGAGCTCCTTTAGGGAATGCATCTGTGGGAAATGAACCACCAAAATTAAGTAACAACAATAGTATTGATGCAAATATGACGGAAAATGATATTGCTCAAGGTACTGATGTTGATGCTACAATTAATGCAGATCCAAACACTACAAATAGCTCGTTAATATATGGAAATTCCAGTACAATAAAAATATCTATGGTTCCAGCTAAGGTCCCACAAAAATTTCAACTTCCAAAGATGAAAAGTTTCAGTACCAATGATGGTACGGTGAAAGATATTTAGTAGAAGTTACACATCTCGTAATTTATAACCTTCAATTTAACTTTCAATTGAAGAATAAATCAGTGTAATTTCTACTTAGTCTTTATTTCATTTACGTTCTTATAATGCATTGTTTATATTCACTTTTATAACATATTTTTTCTATTTTGATCTTAAATGTAAGAATTATTTTCTATTTGTTCTACATAAGTCTCAGTAAAACTGCTTTTTTCATGTTAAACTTGTAATTAAACAATATTAACATCAACGAAAAAACGTGTAGGGCTGTGAGAATTAGAAATCTACAACTGAGTTCTATTGAGAAAATAGTTACACATAAAATGCTTCTTTGAAGCATTCCCCTTACAAAAATAATTATATAATCAAATATACTTCGAAAAACATGAAAAAGGTATCATAAAAACAGCTACCATACAAAAAATTGAAAGTGATCTATCAATTAAAACAATATCTAATTGTTCAAGTAGGTGGATGGATCAATACCTTCTTCTGGGAATTCGGCAATCTTAACATCAAAACGTTCCTGAATTTTACCCAAAACTTCCTCATCCTCTGGAGATGAGACGAAAGAGATAGCTAAACCTTTAGTACCGAATCTACCAGCCCTACCAACACGATGTAAATATTGATCAGCTTCTGTAGTCAAATCATAGTTGATTGCTAAATTGATACGTTCAATATCAATACCTCTACCAAAAACATCTGTAGAAACACATATACGTTTTTCAAATTCTTTAAAAGCTTTGTAGCGAGCAATACGTTCTGCTTGTTTCATATTACCATGTACAGTGATAGCTGGGAAATTTGATTCATTCAATAACTTTGTCAATTCATTTGCTCTCTTTGTTGATTTGACAAAAATGATGACTTGATTGAATTCTAAATCGTCTAATAATTGGGCTAATTTACGATTCTTTTCATTTTCTTGTAATTTTATGTAGTATTGTTGTAAACCATGCAAGGTCAACTTAGCTTCGTCGTCAACAAAAATTTCCAATGGGTTTTGCAAGAAACGTCTACAGATAGGTCTAATCTCTTCAGATAGTGTAGCAGAAAACATCATTACTTGCTTATCCCTTGGTGTAGCTCTGAAAATATCTTGAACATCTCTTCTCATATCCAATTCTTCCAAAACTTTATCACATTCATCGATAACAAAATTCTTGACATGAGATAGATCGATTAATTTGTCCCTAACAAGAGCTTTCAAACGACCTGGGGTAGCAACGACAATATGTGGAGCAGTTTCTTTGTTCTTCAACAATTCAGCATCTTTAGTAATTGGAGTACCACCATAGAAAACTGCAGTTTTCACATCTGGCATATATTTTGAGAATCTTAAATACTCATTACGAATTTGATAAGCTAATTCTCTGGCATTACAAATAACAACAACGGAGACTTCACCTGGAACAGGGTCCAATTGTTGTAAAGTGGACAACACGAAAACAGCAGTCTTACCCAAACCAGATTTGGCTTGACATAAGACATCTGTACCATGAATAGATTGAGGAATAGTATGTTGTTGGACTTCAGAAGGATGTTCAAAACCACAATCGATAATGGCTCTTGCCAACTCTGGTTTCAATAAGAAATCTTTGAAACCAGTTGAATGAATACCAACATAGGAACCCTTCTTTTCCGAATCAGTAGTTGCACCTTCAGCAGTTTCTGAAACAGTAGCATCTACTGCAGATTCATTGATGTTAGTGGCATCAACTTGGATTTCTTGTTCGTTATCAGAATATTCCAATAAATCTTCTTCACCTTCGTGTGACATCGTTGGATTGCTATTTAGACCAGGGTATACGTTTCAGCTACAATAACCAAACTAGATTCAACAATGACCAGAATATATACTAAACAGTCCCACAACAAACTAAAGAGAATTAGCACATTATCAATACCAATTCTTTAAACATTCTTCGTTCTGTTAAATTAATTTTGCTAATTAATTTTTCATTGGTATCCATTCAATCAATAATCAATTAACATTTCCAAGCGTTCCAAACACCCCCCGATACAAACTGACAATTTTAAAGGTTTTTTTTTCAAAGATATATCCTAGACCACGTGATATGACCAGGGTAACAGAATACCCGATGTCACTTAAACGATTCCATTAAGTAATTCACATCAACAGATACAGAGAGTGTAATAAGATTTATCAATATCAAGTGTCTGCAATTAACAAGTCCATTTTACATATTCATCCTATACTCTTTTCAACTATTTAGATGCTTTACGATCCTATTTAGTATAATGACATGAAGTGTTCAAAGCGATCCCCAGTCCTAATTTTGGGTTATTATAAAATAATTTCTATTACACTATATATATTTTATTCTATTCTATTATTTATTTAATTTTTTTTTGTAATTCTATTATTGTAATTGACCTTTGTAGAATCATCCAAATAATAATTATAAGTAATACACAACAAATATTTGTTAGAAAATGTCAAAAATAATGAATTACTAAATTAGTGAAAAATGTCTAATTTAGAAGTAATCCAGTCAAATTAAACTGAGGAGTTTCTACCCAAGATAGAAACCTTGATCCAATCCATGGCGACCAAGACCTTGTTTCTGAAAGATAGACACATGGACAAGTAAGCGTATTTCCAGAACAAGAAAGTAAATGAACCAGACATACTGTATTTGGATTCACCAATAGCTAAATCAGCAACGGCTTTTTCAGAACCAATGTAGGCTAGAGCACCCATGTGGTTGTATTTGAAATTACCAATCTTAGCAGCCAATACTTGTGCTCTAGATTCTAACTTTTGTTTAGAGCTGGTATCTTTGGTTTGAGAAGCTTCCCATTTCAATTGATCGATCTTATATAACTTGTTGAATACTTCACCCAAGTAAAGAGATTCTTGATGGGCAACTTGGGCAGTTGGGAATAAACCTGGATGGAAAGTACAGTCACCGACAGCAAAGATAGAATCGTTACCACCTAACAATTGTAATTTTTCGTTAATTAACAAACCACGTCTAGAGTCTTGTTCATCTAATTTTTCCATCAATTTTTTAGAAACTTCTCTTGGAGCGTTACCAGTAGCCCAGACTAAAACACCGTAAGGAATCTTTTCGACGTCATCACCACATTTGGTTGTGACATAATCATCATCAACACCCTTAACAGCAGTCTTCAACTTCAAATGAATTCTTTCTCTCTTGAATAAGTCCTTGGCATATTGAATCAAAGATGGTTCGAAACTACCTAAAATGTTTGGAGTAGCTTCGACCAAAATAACCTTAATTTCCTTACTAATTTGAGGCATCCATTTGCTTAAATCTTGGTCAATGTAATCCTTCAATTCAGCAGCAAATTCAACACCAGTTGGACCACCACCGACAACAATGAAGTTCAACAATTTTTGTCTTTCTGGATCATTTGGTGGTAAAATAGCAGCTTTAGCAACAGAGTTCATAATCTTACCTCTAATTTCCTGAGCATCAGAGATTTCTTTCAAAAAGGAAGCATGTTCGTAAACACCTGGGGTACCAAACGTGTTTGGTTGAGCACCAACACCGACGACTAAGTAATCATATTTCAAATCTTCAATTAGAGGTTCATCGACGTGATCAGAGGATTTAACTTTGACGGTTTTGTTTTCGACATCGACATCAATAGCTTCACCTTGGTAGTATCTGACTTCACCTTTGGTTCTTCTAGCAACAGCTCTAACAGGTTCAACAATAGATTTCAACTCAACAGTACCGACTGGGGCAGATGGCAACAATGGGGTGTACAAGAAGTAGTTTCTTGGAGAGACAACAATAACATTGTACTTAGAGGTATCCAAATGTTTCAATAAAGTGATAGAACCCCAACCAGAACCTAAGATAACCAAGGTCTTTCTTGGAGAGCCATTAGGAAAAGCAGGAGATTGTGGTTGTTGTGGAGCAGGATTAGCTTCTCTCCATAAAGAGTATGTGACGTAACCTGTACCACCGATAGTAGCAAATAAGAAAGAACCAACCAACCATTTAGAAACAGTCTTGATTAAAGATTTCTTTGGTTTTGGAGTAGTATTGGCAGCATTCAATAATTTGAAAGATGAAGAGAAAGATCTCTTTTGAGAGAATCTAGCAGAATTCAATAAAGCTCTGTTCAAAGTCAATGGGACTCTTGATTTGAAAACCATAGACATTTTTGACAATAATTTTTTTTATAAAATGAATATTAAAATTTAACTTGTAGTTATAATGAATAAATGAAAAAATAAAATAAAATAAAATTAAGAGCACACCAACTTGAATAAGGTTTATGAGAAAATGTACTGCAAATTTTGAAACTTAACTTTGATAATATTCTATATTTGTACCTTTTACCTTCAACTTCTTGGTTTTGGTTTTGGTAAATTTTTATTAGAAATATGAAAACTAGGAAAAATTAGGTATTTTATTTTATTGTAATGAATATATTGGTAAATAAAACCCTTTTGTTTGAAATAATACGAATATATAAATTTAAATTATTTTTAATTGAAATTCGTTGTAATACGAATATCTAAATAATTATTAATTGACGTTTTGTTCTAGTTATTTTCCCCTTTACGGACACAGTTAATTTGAAGCCAAGAAAGAAATATCTATCTAAATCTAATTCTTGATCTTTCTATGTATCACTGTGAAGCTTTAAAAACTAAAATAATTCCAAAGCTTAATTAATGTAGGTGTAAAAAATAACAACAATACTAATGAATAATATCAATTAATCTTAATTAATCCGGACAGAGCTAGATATTAATTAGGATATTGATAAAAAAAAAAGTTCTATAATGTGGATAACAGCAGCACTGATGCGTTAATTAATTGAATTATCTGACACAAGACAACGACAATTAAACAAGAAAAGTTTCAAGAAACAAGAATTCCGAAGGATAGAATATAAGAATGAATTAAGTTTTTAAACTAGGAGAGATAAACCGTTGTAATAATTCCTATGTATATATATAAAAAATAAATATATTCATCAATTTGACGTCGAAACCTGTAAATATATATACATATATATATATATAATGTGAGTGAGTAAGTGTGCCCATCGTTATATAATAATTAACATCGAATCGAAATCACATACATAAAATATATTCACGTCGTCGTCGTCCTCTTGGACTTATTGTTCTTTGTAATTTAATGAACTAATTAAAAAAAAATGTCGATGAGAGAGAAATTAGATAAAAAGTAGGTGGATATCTCTGTTGTGTGCATGTATTTGACAGATTGATTCATCTGGTATCGATGAAACTAAGCTCTCTCTCTCTCTCTTTCTTTATTGAAAAGATAATAATAAACTTTGAAGAAGAAGCAGAAGCAAAAGCAGAAGAAGAAGTTACAGTTTACTTGGATAAAATATTGTAAAATACTTGTTCGAGTCAAGACAGCGATAGAGTACCTTTGGCAATATAATTGTTATGAAAAAAAAAAGGCCTGTAAAACTGTTACTATTACGTGTTGGTGGACCATTGCAGCAAGGTGATGGTCGACGGAGACTAGGGTATGTTAAAAAATGTCATTGATTTTTTAAACAAAATACCCAACAGCTTACTTACTCTGAGGGAGGGAGGGAATATATTTAATTTAGAATTTAACCTATTTTGTTTCTTTTATGAGAGAGGATGCTGTTATGTGTTACAACCAATTGTCTGGGCTTTCTCGAGTGTAAGAAGTAGAGTAAACCATTCCACAAGGGAGAGATGGTACCAACGATGAGGAAAGAAGGAAGAGACAAGACAAGACAAGACAAGATAAGACGAGAGAAACAATCGGTGTAAAGAGAAATGGTTATCTTGTAGTTTAGTTTTACTAGTGTTTTTTTTTTTTTCTAAAATGGTTTTGTAGTTTATAAAACTGAAATAGAAAATTTTCAATATATCGACTGGACTGTGCTATGTCTCTGTCTCTGCCTATGCCTCTGTCTCTCTTCTGACCTGTATGTACATGGTACTTATTTTACTGAAGAATGAGTGGATGAGTGGATGAATGAATTTGAATATTCGAAATAACTGGTTTTGAAAAGAAATTTCGGTACAAATACAGAAGTTGGTTTAGATGTAAATAAATGAGTGGATATAGCAGATTGATCGATTGGTAGATGTGTGTAGCTGATATAATAATGTACATACACATATAAATTGAATATGCTTGTTTTATTGTTATTTTCAGTATTTTTTTTTTCATGCAAAGCAGAGAAATAGTGTAGACAAATTGGCAAGATGAGGTAAAATTAAAAAAAAAGACCCAAATTGGTAAAATTCTGCAAAATTGTGAATTTTAAATGGGATTTAAAGGAAGTACCAGAGAAACAGACTAAAAAAACAAGGCAAAGCAAGACAAGACAAGATTAAATTGATTGTAAAGATGGTTAAGAACCACAAGAGTTGGATGGTGGGTGATATCATAATGGTCAGACAATAAAAAGCCGCCATACTCTAGGGCATCAGTGGATTTAATTTTCTTCTTCATGTAGAACAAACTCGCATTTATAGATATTAGCAGCTATTTTAAATTTAGTGAAATATGCACTCTTACACTCTGTTACGGGTCTTGGGACTCTATTGATGGTTGTTTGACATGGCAGAAAATAATGAGATGTTTTCTGCTATATCCCACTCTAGATGGATTCTTGTGATTTTGTAGCGAGGATGTTTAGGGAGAGAAGCAAGCAACAGGAATATTATAGTTCATGACACTAGGGCATGCCATACAACTTGAAACTTTTATCTTGTAATTTCTTGTTTCTTACGGTGTCAAAATAAGCTCGGAAGAGAACTTGGACAGGTATTTCTCTCCAGAAGGGAATATACCATCAAAGAAGAGGGCACAAGAAAGCTGATGATGGATGGGGGAGGTGGGTGAGAGTGGATGGGTTGGGCAAGAATTGCTGTTGCTGTTGCTGCTGTTGTTGTTGCCGGGATAAAGATTTAATAGTAATTACAGATATTAAATCCCCAGAATACCCGTCTCTATCAGTGGGTGGAATGGAATGGTTGATTTTTTTTTTTCAAGTATCGGTATAGGTATATTTCCAATAAAAAGATATATACAAACTATATATTTAATGGCTTTTCGGTACGTACATATACTAACAGAAGCTTCATTGCAACAGTGGTTGATTTCTTGTAGTTCTACGCTTAATTGTCACCTGGGAGGGAAGGGAACAAGAGAGACAATTGATAAACGGATCCTATTGTGCTTAATTTTAGAAAGGAAGGTGTAATCGAGTCTGATTATAGCAAGAGTTTTCCCGAACTTTGGTGTAACAAGACATAGATGGTTACTCAAATTTTGCGTAAATTTTAAATTTTTATACAAATCTATACGTATTATTGAAGAAAATACACTTTTTGTCTTGCTTTCTCTCTCTCTCTCTCATCGCATAAACTATTTTTATTCCTTCGGTACATTTGATTATTAGTTATTCCGATAAACGCATAAATTTGAATATGATAAATCTCAATCAATCATTCAATAAGAAGAACAACTATAAACGGAAAATACCTAAACGCATAATATAATGGAAATCAATATCGAGTAGTTTACGTCTAACAAACACAGTAACACATCTAGCTTTGAATTGGAAACTGGTTAAAAATAAAAATAGAAGAAAACCAATACCTACCTAAGCTTTACTGTTACCGCTACCTTGAATTCATAAATTGTAATTATGGAGATATAGACGTCTACATAAGGTGCTTGTTTGTCAACAGCAAGCAAGTGCTCATCACCATCTATCTACAATGGAAGAAATACATCTAGTATACCTTAGTTTTAAAAAATTTCATTATGTAAGCATTTCCTTAGTGACGATGGCCAAGTCTGGCCAATTTTTCTTTCGAGCTGTATTAATTACAATATTACGTATAATAATAAAAAAAATAGCAACCTGACGAGACAAGGTAAGATTTGGTTGTTTTTCATTTCCAATCCGTTACGATTGCTTACCCAATGGAAAGAGACTTCATCACATTACAAAACAAGAGATTATACTCATTCATTTTTTTTTGTTTGTAGCACACAATTGATAATATCAATAGGTAATATTCCACCCCATTCTTAACATCTTCGTAACCGTATTCGTATCCGTCTTAGTTATAAACTGAAATTTATTCGTTCGACAGTAAAACTGAAGCATTGTCGGATATTATCGATAATAACAGCATATTGAATATTATTTAATCCACCTATCGAACCATCCATCCTGTCCGATCCCGCAATAGGTATCATCACTATGGTCAGCCCAATTCAATTCACCTCAAAATTTAGTAACCTTATATCTTGCCAAATCTCATTAAAGATAACCATATAACCCTATTCTGGTTTAACTTCTACACAAGTAATCAATTTCACAAAGAGACATAAAGAAATCATCTTGTTTCAAACAGAGTTCTGCTGTTCGGAATAAAATGTCCGTCTACCAAGTCTATATTCATTGTATTGTATCGTCACTTTCCATCTCTTCCCCATACACGTATAGATTACTTTATTGGAAGAGTATGTTACCATCCACATTGACTCTTCCAACGCTGATTATTTCAAAATGCCAAGCAACTAAGCAACTAAGCAACTAAGCAACCAAAAAGCCAGAAGTTCTGTTAGTTAAATTGTTTCGAGTTTTCAAAGTGAGTGGACTTATTTGAAGATTCAACTAGATCTCAATAAGTGGGTTCCCCCACAATTGCAATTACAGGACAACCTAATTGACAAAAATGATACGACAGAAACAATACATTCTACAAATTAAATAAATATATAAATAGATTTATTCAGCGGTGGTAGTTGATAAACTTAATAGAAAGTTTAATCCCACAAATCTTGTTGTAATATTTATTATAGCAACAATTCTTTATCCCATCATCGGTGCTATAATGACATTCTTGCTATATATTGATCTAATGAGATGGGGAACTATACTACATCGAAGAGGTTTGGAAGAAGAACTATCTGATATATCTATCAGTTGCAATATAGATATAACTCCTTATCTTGGGTCGGATATTAGTGCTTTTTATTCTTCTTGAATATAATTTGTACTCTGACATTCTTTGTTATAATGGTGTGTCTAGTTAAATGTATCTTATGCAAGACTAATTGGAAGTTATATTAAAACTAAAATTATATATAACACCGTTATGTTCCTTATAGGAAGGTTTCTTGTTGTTCCTAGAATTCATTATCCAATGAATAAAATGGTTGCATCTTTCGTAATTCTGTCTTCTTTTACAGAAAATAAATATAGTTCCGTCTTAAAGTTGTAAATTATGTATCAGTTCAAGTTGTAAATTATTATTTTAATTCAATTTGTATGAATTTCGAAATAAGGTTTCAATTAAAAGTGATTATTGCATCAGTTTTGGTAATATCTAAATTTAGGAAAAATCTTCGATTTCTATTTGCTGAATTATTAAATCGTTATTCTCTCTACGCCCTTGTTTCATGGATTGTTTTTATTCAACCTTCCTCTTTTCTATTCTAATGAATTTTATGGTTCTTTCCTTTATTGTATTCACTTAACTAATTATGTGGACAATATATATAGGTAGCTACGCAGTTTTGTCATATAACAAATATATATAATTCATTTGAGAGTCTTGTCAAAGGGAGATAAATGGATACCATTTTTTAACAAACGTGTTCTGGTTTCTTGATGTTATCGACAAATTCACCCAAGTCACATTTCAATTTTCTGTTAAATTGTTCAGTCAAGAATCCTAAACAACTTTCAGTAATTGAAGCATCGTATCTACCTTTACTAGAAGTATCACGGATAAAAGCATGTTGGGCAGCATGGATTTCCAAAAATGTGAAGTTAACATCATGATCTCTCAATGTTCTTCTGATTAAATCTCTACCTTCTGGTGGAACATGGGTATCAAGAGTACCGAAAATTAATACCAATTCTTGGTCCTTTGTAGCTTCTTGAGAAACTCTGAACAAAGAATCATCGTTCTTACCTAAACCTAGAGTTCTGGAATGAATATCAGTTGGGAAGAAACAGGTAGCACAAGAAACTCTCTTATCGATCAAAGCTCTAAATGCTAAATGACCACCCAAACACATACCAGTGGCACCAATCTTCTTACCATCGAATTGTGGTAATGAGTACAACAAATCACAACACAATTTGTTATCTTCATCATAAGAAGCTACAGTCTTCTTAATCTTAAAGGCATTACCCATATCAGTACCTTCAGCATCATAAGGTAGTGGTTCTGGACCAACAAAATTATGGTAGATAGCTGGAGCAACGACGACGTAACCTTCAGAAGCAATTCTTTGAGCAAGTCTACGAACTGGACCAGTGACTTGATAAATTTCACTATAAACAATTACACCTGGGAACTTAGCATTTGGATAACCAGGAACCTTTGGTGAAATAATGTGAATACGTAAGTCAGTACCGTCTTCGGTTTTAAAGTCTTTGAAAGTTTCTTCAATCAACATCTTTGGAATCAATTGCTTAATATATTGTATGTTCAACAATTACAATTAATAACAATTAACTTCTGATTAAAACAACCTAATCAATGAGAACTAAAAAAAAAAAATTCTTCTCTTTTTTTAATCCTTTAAAATTATCATCTCACCATCCCTTGCTTGTTCGATTAGGGAAAAGCGTTTAGCTTACCCGAAAATATTCAAGCTTTAATAGATTTATTATAGATACCACTGCTTAATTAGAGGGTTACAAAGGAAATATATTAAAAGTGTCAGTATATGTATAGATTGATATTGGTAAGTTGGCATAGTTATTGAATATTATAAGTATATTTGTTTATTTATTTTAGTTATTTATTTTACTACTGTTCGAAAAAGAAATTGAAAGAAAACTTTGAAGAAATATTGTACAATACAATATGAATTAAAATTATTCTGGAACGGTGACACCTACTTTTTTGATCAATTCATTTGACACATTCAGAAATTGCTTAACATAGTCTGTAGTTAAGCCAGAAGAAGGCAAAATAGCTTCAGCCTTGTTGTTAAACATTGTACCACTTCTATTTTCAATTGCTGGTGAAATCAAAACAGGAGAAATATTCTTAGCGTATTGTTCAGGGGAGTATGTAAACCAACCAATGACATTTTCAATTATTGAGGACATAATACCACCACCAAAATAATTGTTTCTGATTTCTGTTCTAACAATGCCTGGATTTAATCCAAACACGTTTAATTTTGGATAGCGATCTTTAGCGTCTAAAACTAAACTTTCATTACCAGCAACAGTAGACATATGTGCCTTCCATGCCTCATAATTTTTTTCAAAATTTAGATCTTCTAATGTACCAACTTCATTATTACCTGGGAAGCCCATAATAAAAATTCTTGGTTTTGGAGATGATGCTGGTAGATTTTTACCTAATTTAGAGGCAATTTCACGTAAGATGACATATCTACTTAAATAACTAATAGCCATATCTTTTTCCAAACCTTCATCGGTTTCTTGTCTTTTAGGATTAGGAATAATACCAGTGGTTAAAATCAAATGGGTTAAATTTTCTGCATCCAATTGATTAACTACTTTCTTTGCTTCTTTCATGGAACTTAAATCAGCTTTAATAAATTTAATATCAGAATTCTCATCTCTAAAGGTACGACCAACGACTTCAACCTTGGCACCTTTAGATGCAATAGCATTGGAAATAGCTCTTCCCAACCCATTAGTACCACCAATTACTGCAGCATTGACTTGAGAAAAGTCACAGTCATCGAAATTCTTTTGTTCGTAAGTGAACGAAGTATCCTTCTTCATCGTGAACATCATGTTGAATAATTTTTATGTGTTGTATATATATATATATTGTTGAAAGGTATAAATTTCCTTGCTTTGATCCAATCCAAGAAACCAAGACAAAACCAAAAATAGATAAAATGAGTCAATTACAAGATGATAAAATTGTAATCTAAATATCAAAGAAAAATGAGCTCTCTTTATACTTCGACTAAAACTGTAATTGGGACAAACATCATTCCATCTTTATAAAAAGATAGACAAGGCCAGACAATTACTAGACAAGACTACCCTTTAAAATCCTAAAATATCCAATTTCGCAAATAAAGATAGATTATAATTGAGTCTTCCTTCGAACCAAAAGCACAACGACAATGATATTGATAATAACTATATATCATGATCCAGAAACAACAAGAATTAGTAAAAATCAAATATTCCTTCTTGCTTACTATTCACGATAAAATCAGGTTGATTACTAACACAATCCAATAATATCCATTGATCAAGCATACAAAACCTTATTCAGCAAGTGCAAGCAAGAGTTGCTACTATAACTTAGATTCGAAAGAGAGTTTAAAGAATATCATTTTACATAGAAGATAGTATAGATAGTATGGAATTCACTGAATGTACTACTATTCTAGTTCTCTTGAAATAGCTGTCCAAATGATTGAATTACTGGCTGCATTGCTAGCAACAAGTATATAGATTTCGAATTAAGTTTGATAATGCTATTATGCAATAGACTGACTAACGGGAATAAGTGACAGTGTTGTTACGAATAGCCTGCATGTGCTGATTTGGTATAGTATGGAGCAATTGATGGAATATAGCCTTAAACATTGATACTTGGACCATAAGACATTTTAAAACTCTTGCATTTGCAGTTGACGTTATGGATAAGTATACACTATGGTTTGGTTTAGTGTGGTTAGTTAAGTTCTATTTTGGTTTCGAAATCAAGTAAAAAACAGCCTTCTTCATGGTGATGAGGCCGGGGGAAGGCAAGGGGACGGAGCGTTATTTCCATGGAATTTCAATAGTTCTGCTAATTTCCGTCTATTCTGTAAGAGCCAAATCTATTGGATATATTAGATGGAAATATAGATGGATGTATCAACTTGACTAACTTCAACATCAATTATGGCATCGGACATTAGACATCAGGTTTATAGACAATGGGTGGATTTAAACTATACTGTGGTACATGAGTGTAGTTTACGTTGTAGGCTTTGTTGAACTTTTGCAAACTAATATAACTACTTTTGTCAAGAATTTAGAATTCTTCCTTGAGTCCGCCTTTTTTTATTCCTCTTTGTTCGTAATTACATGTAGAATTTATTTAATATTACATTTTAAGTTATTTTGTTATTTGGTTTTCTATGCTTACACAAGTTACATAACTTTCTAGATGCTTTGGATTCTTTTTGGATTTCGATGAGGGATTGCGTTATTTCTTACGTTCATAATTCTGTTGTTCAATAATTGCTTGCTTTATTTCATCATCTACTATACCATCGAATATTTCCAATGGAACAGAAGCCAACCCTGTACTAATTCTGGTTAAATCATCATCTTGGATTTTAGTTTCATATATCACTGCAGGAGAAGAGGAATCCTTGTTCTTTTTATTAGAAGTGGACTCCTTATACCATCCTATCACTTTGGTAGACTGTGTTGACTGTGGTAAATGTAGTACATTGGTATATGGATCCCTTAAGCCTTGCTGCTCTATTAGCAATACTCTAACTCTGTCGTAGTACATGTCACTATTAAATCTACTACATGCTGCAGCGTGCTGGTATAACCAGTTGGTAGCATTTAATCTGGCACCGGACGATGTGGTAGAACCATTTACTGGGTACATTTGAGATCTTCTGTCAAAGAATTCGACTGCATTTCTTGCCGGATTAACATCTATCACTGCAGCAGAGAGATCTAAACCTTCCATACCCCTCTTGCTTAATCTTTTTGGGTGGTCTCTAGATGCATTTTCCACAATTCTTCTAGTTGGACGAGGCATTGTCACATAGTAGTCATCGACACCTTCCTCACCGTTTTCGATAATCTTGGCACCAAATTCTCTAAACACACTTCTTGCAGTAACTAAACCGATTTGTCTACTTTTATAAGAATATGGAATTAAACCACGTTCGATCATATCGTTTTTTTGTCCCTGGGAAGGAGAATATCTGTACAAATTCGGATGGTGTTGGAAAAACAAATGTGAATCTCTTAAACCAACAGCTCTTGCAGGTTCAGTGGCTAACATAAACTTTCTATCACCTCTATCGACCAAAGTAAAAGTACGAACGATAAATTTTCTGTCATCTAATAAGTCACCATCTTTAGAGATTTTAGTTTCACCTTCAGGATCTTCAGGGAATTCGTATTCTTCATTAACAATTCTGACAATAATAGGTTCATTATCAACAGGAACCGACATACGAACTTTCTTACTTGCAGGAGTAGTAGCAGTTGAAGCACTCCTTGACCTATCAGTTTCGGAACCTTCAGTATTACTTATCACTTTATCTATTTTTCTCTTATTTTGTCTTCCTCTATCAGCATTTGGTTTGTATTCTTCCTCTTCTCCTTCATCTTTTTCTTTCTTCCCTTCAGATTTAATTTCTGTTTCGTCAACATCAGCTTCAGCCTGTTCTTCTTCATCGGCGACAAATTCATCATCACTAGCATGCTCAGTATCAATTTCTAAACCACTAGTATCAATCTTATAATTTGGTTTACTACTACTCGATCTCGAACGAGCGGAAGTTCGGCGAGTTGCAGTTGCTTCGTCAGTAGCAGCATCTTTAGCTGTTGGCTCTCCTCTAGTTCTCATACTTAAAATATTATTATCCTCTGTTGTAAGATTGCCTATACAATATGCTTTACTCTCTCTATTCGGCACTCTCTACTGCACTTCTGCTCTTTGAACGTTAATTGTTTATACCTTTGTTCTATATAGTGTTTAAAAGTGATCATTTGACAATTTTCAAAAAAGCTTTCCTACTTTCCAAATATTTGAAATAAGTGCCCTTCGTTATTGGTGATGTGATTTCTAATATTGAAAACAAATAAATATGGTCACGTGCCAGAAGCGTTGTTCAATATTTATGTCACACGAGAAGATAAGACAAGACAAGACAAGACGATCGATCATTGAAGTCAAAAGGATTTATGATAATAAAGATATGGGTTTAAGAATATTTAAATAGAAATATATGTAAATGTAAAAATCTGTAGAATATTTACTTGAAGGTTAGTAACTTTTTTTTTTTGAAGGATTTTTAGAATATTATGAAATGTTTTTTTTATTACTTTTTTGAATAATGAAATAACAGAGAAATATTATTCAAGTGACAGACAAAAAACTTTTTTTGAACATAAAAAAAAATTAGATGGACTTGAACATTGGACAATTACAATGTGTTGGATAACTTTCCTTACTTAAAAAAAGGCAACGATTGAAAAAAAACCAGGTAATTTGTCCTTTAGTGGTTTATGCCAGAATAAAAAAAACAGAAAACATGAAGATCATCAGAAAGAATATATTACATAGATTATGTGTCATTAGAATTCGTTCTTCTCTACTTCATAACAGAAGATTAGATGAGATTCTATAGTGTAAAATATAGGGTGAAAAAATTGACAAAATAAAAAGAAATTTGGAAACAATAAATCATAGGAAACAACCAGACTTAACAGTTTACTAACATAGAGGAACGTTTCTGTCTTGTTCATCCATCAACTCTTCTAGAGTTGGTGATATGTAATCGGAATCAAAGGTAGTTGCCAATGGATTAAATGATATATCATTGTCGTTAAAATTTAAATTTATGTTCAATGGAGGGATATCATCGAAGAACTCATTAGCAAATGAATAGTTCTGTTTGTTGGTCTTTGTAGATATTTCATCATCTCCAATTGACGAAGGTAAAGTTATTGAAGAGTTTATGGAATCACAATTTTTCATTGAGGTTACAACATCATTATCCAAAGAGTCAGCATTTGATAAGGTATAATGATCTGAAGAAAATAGAGAATTTGGAGTTTCGGAGGATGACGAAACGTCGTGAATATCTACAGAGATGGTTGAATCCAATGGCTTCGAAGAGATTACGTCATCACTTGAGTTTGCACTTAGAGCAGAAGTTGAATCAGAATTTGAAGTTGAAGTTGAAGTAGAAGAGAAATCGATTGATTTCAAAGTGTCCAAATCGGGTTTAATGAAAAATTTTGTGACGGCATCTTCTTCTTCAAACTTCAAAAAAATATTTGTACAATCATCATAATTTGTAGTATTATGATGGTGGTGGTGGACAGGAGAAGAAGAGTTTGAACGTTTAACGATCTTTGAGTGGTGTTTTGTACTGCTTGAAGGGTTACTACAACTGTTGTTACGTTTTGAAGCGGTAACTACATGTGAAGTTGAAGATGCATTTGAACTTGAACTTGTACTTGCAGAAGAACATGATTTTCTTCCTGGTTTTGGTCTTGGAGGCAGAACCCAATTCTTTGAAGTTCTAACTATTGAACAATGGTTATTTGAATGAGAATTGTTGTTGACCGGAGAAGGTTTAATCGGTAAAGGTTTTATCATTATTATATTTTATCTTTAGACAGGGGTTGTTGTTGTTGAATATATTGAGGGTTGCAATGCTGATAAATAAGTAAATAAATAGTGTGTGTAGGAGTGAGGGTGTGTTTGTGTGTTGTGAATAAAATTAATTAAAAATAAAAGGTGGGTTAAAATAATTCGTAAACTTCGTTAAAACAATGTGAATAAAAAAAAGAGACAGTTAATGATAACTTAAATAATACAAAATAAAAAGGGCGTTAAAAGGGGGGGAGGGGGGTAATTGAATATTAAAAAATTGGTTGATTTGAAATGTAGTTATAACTAAATAGACATTAGATCAACTAAAATAGGACAAAAAAAAATGTAAAATTTTTTAAAACTGTAAAAATCTAAAACTTAGAGCGGCGTAGTAGTATGTACAACAGATCGAAGATGCGATGAGAACAAATTTCTTTTCCTATATTCAAAAATTGAGAAGATTGAGAAAAAATCTGAACAGAATAATTACAACACTAGCAGACAGTTTTTATTTAAAAAAAATGAATATATATATATGTGTGTGTGTGAAGTGGGTTGATGAGTTTATGATTGATTTGGGTAATTGTCTTTGCTTGTCGCTGTGTATTTGTTGTAATGTGGTGGTGAAAAGGGGGGGTTATCTTTGATATCGGATTTGTGTTTTGTGAAGGGTTATGGGTGGGTTCATGGTAAACTCGTTTATATCATTTTATGATTTTTTATTGAAGTCTGTTGGATATATCTTGGTGATGAGAATGTGAGTTGTGTAGAATTTGTTGGTATTATGATAATTTGTGGTGCGTATGGATGATTTGTGTAGTTTGGTAATGATTGGATTGTCTATTGTCTGTATTGTTTTGTATGTGTTATTTTGTATCCAGTCTTTTGTCTATGTTGTATGACTGCTATTTTATCGTCTGTTTCGGTTTTTATTTTCGTTTGGTA